TGTATGTGTGAGTATATCATAATCCCAGGGTTAATAGTATTTTTTTTCTCCTGTAGACAATCAGATGAAGTGGTATGATGGCACAAATGTCCAATATTCCAGATGGGCAAGAGGCAGACCAGATGTGGACGGACCATTCTTAGCTGGTCTCACTGTTGACAGCAACTGGATTCTCATTACAAACAAAAAGTTGTTCTCAGAGTTCAAACAAAGGACTGTCGTGACCTGCAAACTGGACAATGGTTGGTGTATAACACTTTACATCATCATACATTATTCATATTTCTCTGTCCACCTCTGTTGTTATTATTCCTGAAAATATTTAGTGTTAAAAATTATATTACATGTTTTTAATCCTTCCCTCCCAAGAACCAAAACAGAAATACAACCAATCATCCGAAGATTTTAAACATTACGGCAACTTAACTTATGAGGTTGTAGCCCGAAAGTTGAGTTGGTACCAGGCTCTGAAAGAGTGTGGTCTACGTGGAGGTCACCTGGCAAGTGTCCACGACATCGAGCACAGCGCACACGTGAAGCTCATTGCAAAGATAGACGGCTTCCCGCTCTGGATTGGCCTATCAAACCAGGATGTAAGAATTATGCTTAACCAGAATCTTTTTGAGAGACCTTGAGTACATCCCCTTTGGATTGCTCTCGCATAGTGGTCTTTGCTCATAATTTCACTTCAGCTGCAAACCAGATGGGCTCACGTGATGGTCTCTCTCTCTCTCTCTCCATGCAGGTTAGTGGCTCAGTCTATGAGTGGTCTGATGGAACCACATTTGACTACAAAGCCACCATCTCTGACTCACAGCAGGGCTCCAGCTCAGAGGCCAGCTGTGTTTTTGTAACCCCTGCTGGAGCTTGGGTGAGGACCAACTGCAGTATGGCGGTAGACGGAGCCATCTGCTACACCACCAACATCACCACCACTTCCCAAAGTAAGATGCTGGTGTTTGTTTTTATGTATGTGTGTGTGTGTGTTTCTATTTATCTAAATATAGATCTATAGATGGATAGATAGACTGACCATCTTGTTTCTGCGTTACAATTAGGAGCCAGACTGCAGGCTGCCCCAAAGACCAATCACTGCCCTGAAAGCAACGGTATGTATTTGTGGGTGCAGAATCAGGATAACTGTTACGCCTTCAACATGAGCTTCTACAAGTACAAAGTTTACAGCATGGAGCAGGCCAGGGGCATCTGTCAGAACATGGGTGAGTTGTTATTTGGTGTATGAAGGGTTGTGATTAGTATTTATCTGAAGCAACTGTAGTCCACCAATTGCTTTTTTTCTGCTGACAGAGGCTCAGTTACTGACCATAAAGTCCACAGAGGAGAACGACTTTGTGTCAAAGTACATGTCTGATGACCCACTCATCACCAGTCGAGTGTGGCTCGGCATGGACTTCGATTCTCAAGGTAAATCCCATCATTTGAAATTGAAGCAACAGAACACTGTTGCAGAGAATTTTGATAACATCAAAGGTCAAATCTGCAGTTTTTAGCTATTTCAATTATGATTATATTCATACATATAATTCAAGAGTTTGACTGCATTTTGTGTTCCTCAAATAACCAACAGCCTGTTTTACTACAAAAAACAAAGTTATATTGTATTATGTAATGTAAATTCAAAAGAGTATGACCACAGTTTTGTTCATTGACTTGTATACCTTGAGCAGGATCTTTTACTGCTTGCTGTTCAAGACACACTCAATATTAGCAAGGGTTGAAATGACTACAGAGAGAATCATCACCTGCCTCTGCAGACCCCATGAGCAGTGCTCTGCTCTAGCACTTCAGTGTCTTTCAGCTCATTGTTATTGGTTTTATGGTCCACAACTCTTTACTGTTTGGGTTTACCTCACTGCCCTCATCATCAGCATTGTTTTCAGACACAGCAAGCAGCTGGTAGAGCAGGTAGAGACCAAAAATGAAAGCTAAAGGCGGGAGAATATTGGATTTAATATGACTCCAAACAAATGCTTATGTTGCTGCATGTTTGCTGGATGTGTAAACAGGCGTCATGTTGTTTTAACAAATCAGTTTGATTGCATTTGACTCGGATATTGTGATTCGTGTTGTGAGACAGTGATGATTGTCCTGCTCCCTTTTCCTCTTTCACTATCTCCTTGTTCTTCCTCTCAGGTAAGCCTGTATCCTGGCAGGATGGCTCAGATCTGTCTTTTTCTAACTGGAAGCCTGGGGCCTTGATTACTGGGAAGAAGCCCAAACCCCAGTGTGCCGTCATGATGGCAGCAGATAAAGGAATCTGGAATCTTGTTAACTGCACGGATAGCTACAGCCGTGTCGTCTGCAAAACTGAAGCAAGTGAGTATCACAACTGCATTAAAGGAATAGTTCAACATTTTGGGAAATATGCATACCGTACATTTGCTTTTTTGCCTTGAGTTAGATGAGAAGATAGATACATATTTTACATACATAGAAAGCATATTTTTAAATTAATCTCAGCACAAAGCTACACCTTTTCAAAAGTTACATAACTTCACTGACAACAAGAGTGGTTTTGCATGTTTTAGCCCAAACAGATATTCTTTTTTAATTATTAAGTCTGAGCTAACAACTAAACGATGATATCTTGTTCAGTGGGAACTCAAAAAACTCACTGAATGACTTATGACATACTTCATTTTTGCTCCTCAGAGTCTGCAGGCTCTCCTGTGGCACTAGGTCTCTTCATCGTGGTCGTCCTCGCTCTCCTTTTAGCCATCGGCTTTGTCATCTATAAGAAGAAAAGATCCCACTTCTCTTCTACTGTCCGCTACAAGCGGACCTTTGATGAATCAGACAGCACAAGTATTATTACAGAAGCTGACTGAGCTTGCTTAAGTAATCAGCCTCAGGGAATATTGAAGTGCCTGCCTCATTTGCATTTTAATACTTTTCAGCAAGAGCACATGCCGTCTTCCCTTTTTTAAAATTATTTATTTATCCTGCTCCAGCCCGCTTAAGGAATTATGTGTAAAACTGTAAATACTGTTAGAGAATTGTGAATATCCACAAATTTTGTTTCTTAATATGGGTTATTTAAATTATGTTTATTAAAAGCCCTGTTTTACATCTAATTTAAATGAATGGGCTGATGGTTTCTGGGAAATGTTGATCGTTGACATTAGTGGGACTGGGAGTTCTTTTTGTTTTGTTTTTTGGATTAGTAAAAAGATTTTGAGTTGATTTACAGAAATATGCAACGTGACAAAACACTCTTATTCAGCCTTATAACTGGGGTTAAATTGCACTGATGTATTAGTGACTCCAAACTATCACAAACTAAATGTGCATTTGTTTTATACTGTATATACCATGACTCAGTCTATTCCAGTTGTATTTCTACAGAAGGTGATTTAAAGTCAGTAACAATTTAATCGGTACATTAATAGACTAAAAAGGCCAGTTGACCTGAAAATACAGTAAAACTTATTTTTCTTTGACTTTGTAGTTATGTTATATATCTAGATATTTTCTCTAAAAATACTCACAATGCTGCCAAAAAGGAAGAAACTCTTTACATAGTTTTGTGGAACTTTGTGGTCCACTTTATTGGCCTGAGCAGCTGATATTGTCATTGAAAACTGTGCCTTTTAACATCTTTACTTCAGAAAGATGTTTTTTAAGCCACCAGATTAGGTTATTATATTTTCAATATATAAATGAAACATCTTGAAATCTGAAATTTAAGTCTGATTAGTTTTAAATGTGCAGGACACTGTCTTAGCCTCAAAATTTATGAGACGCCTGTTTGTATCATTTGTCTGTTTATGTAGATTGGACTTTGCAATGCACTTAACTACTGAGCAAGAGCGCACTTTAATATGTTGCGGAGATACAGCTCCTATGTTTAAGCACAATGACATATAGAGTTTCTGAAGATGTTCAAATTGCACTGTTGTTTGCTGGGAATGCTTTGTAAATATGTGATGTTTGTTTTATAACTAAGAATGAACCAAAGATGCTGAGTCATTTGAATGTTCAAAGTCTGAGCTTTCCTTTCAGTCTGTGGAACTGCCTCAATATGGCTTGTTAACCCATTGTAAACCAAATGTTAGTGGGTTATTTTTTTACCCCTCCACCCACTCCTTAATAGATCTGCTTACATCAGGTACAGCATCCTTCAAATAAAATTTCCTGTCTTAAATCTTAAGTAGTGAATGTGATTGTAAACTGTAATATTGGTATATTCTTTACATGCAATTAGTCCAGCTTAAGCTAACATTGAAGTTACGTTAAATACACCACTATTGCATGTAGAAAATAATTTTGAGATGCATTTTAAAAGGGGAAATCCACCCAAAAACAGAATGTACATGGTACTACAGAAGAGAACAGTAGAGCTAGTATTTGCTATCATTCACAGACAAGGGACTGGGCATCATGATTGCGCTTGAACTGATTACATCATACAAATCTGTCAATCACTCCATGGACTCATACTTATATGAATAACCTAATTTCAGCCAAGTCATTCAGCCATCAGTGTCTTACATTTTCCATTATTCACCAGTGTTATAGCTAGATGCCATCACTGTTCACAAGTCTGTATAATGTATTAGAATGAGCATATTTTCCTGTTAGAATAGTCCTATTAAAAACATTGAGAGGTAGCATGAAACTCGACTGCTGAATAAATCGAACACCGATGGCAATTCACAGGTCTGGAACCAGGCTAATCTATAGGTGCTCACACCTTACAAGTTGTGTGTACATCAATCTACCTCTAGTGGAGAGAATGGAGCAAAGATTCAGCCATCAACATCTGTAAGCCCTCTTGAAAATGTTAGTGTGGTCCTAACAAGCAGCACCACCCTGTAAACTACTTGTGCCTGTAACCTCAACAGAGTCAAATATAACAAGACGAAAAATGTAGTTTGCATTCGATCTTTATTCCCAAAACTGAAAGCGTGAACCTAGTTTTGTACACAAAGCCATTTTCAAACACTGAAACAAAGAAGAAAATTTGTTAATGGGGTAAGTTTTTTTTTTTTTTTTTTTTTTAAACATTCTCAGTGGGAGAAAAGTCTGAGGAAAAGACAAAAAAGGAATAACCACCACTTTTTATATTCTTTCCCAAAAGCATCCATCTTACCATCACAGCCAAAGTACAAACCTGACACTTCTCAATGTCTTCCTTCTTTGTCATTTAAATGTCTGCTTTTCCTTTAAACATTAAAGCACTTGTGGTATAACCAAAAAAAAAAAAAACCTTGCATTTTTATTTTGATTAAAGTGCACTCATAGAAACAGAAACCAAATTGCATTTTAAATCAAGACAATGTCAAAGCATGTGGGAAAACTGGGTACGCTACCATATGACATGGAGTAGCCCTGTGACTTTAGATCCTCTGACCCACTTTTCTAAACCGCATTCCAACAGTATCACGTAATTAGTACTCCTCTTCAAGATCGTCATCCAGGTCAGAAAACTCAATAGATGGCCTGTTGTCTCTGATCTCCTCATCACTTTCCCCATGGGGAACTGCAATCCAGAGACAGTAAGTCAGATTCTGTAGCCCCAGAATATATATAAAAAGTGAAAATACAAAAGTGAGCGATCTACAGTATAAAAAGCTGGCAGTGTTAAACATGGCAATTGCAGACGACAGGTCGCTTGCAGCAAATCAGGACTGCCTTTCAACAAACACATAAGCATAGGAGAGATGATTGAGCAACATACTTTCAAGATTGTCCATGTGTTCATGAAGAATTCTCACCAGGTTGAATAACTGGGTGAGAAAGGGAAGATGTTTCTCTTTTCAAGATTTGCATTCTACCGCATTTCAAACATTTTCAAATCGTGTAAATTAGTACCGACTTGTGGTTCACTGTGTAAGAAGGCTAAGTGCAAACAGGAGTATACACGTCTAGAAAAACCAGGAACGCTGTGTACACTACAGTCTGACAGCAAAAAATAGAAAGTCAGACAAAGTTCAGAAAGATTAATGTGATATGATCAACTGTAGTGCTAAGTGTGTTTGTGAAAGTGTGCGTGTTCTCACCCCAGCTGCATCGACTGCTCCCAGAACATCAGAGAACCTCTGCTCGCAGAAATGCAGCAGCACCACCAGATAGAGACCACTGCTGATAAACTCATCATATTCTGACTGAAGAAAAAAATAAAATAAATAACCCACACACATACAGCAGGTTACTGACAAAATAAAGGATATAACCCAATAGTCTCTGGAACTCTTTTGGAAGGACAAACGCCACTCTTCAAAATACATTTCCTCATTTGGTAAAATGCTGACTCACTTGCACGTGTGTCCTGTATAACTCTTGAATGTCAAAGTTGTCTATGTTCAAACGCAGTTTCTCCTTGCACAGTTCACATGTTGTGATGGCCTCAAGGTTTGTGCCTAAAAAAAAAATAATAAATAAATAAAAACACGATAATACACATCGACTTGGTTGACAAGATGTCGTTTTGGTGGAATCTGCAGCAAATGTTAAGAGGTTCATATTTACCTGAGCCAATTTTAGAGCGGAGCCACCTCTTGATGCAGTCCTGGTGGACGTATTGCAGGCTTCCTGTACAGCGGCAAGGCTGAATCAGAGGGTTGGATGCAGATTCCTCCCCCATCTGGCAGATTCTGCACAGGTCGCCTTCCTCATCAGAGTCCTCAAGCAGCAGTCTATAGCAGGAAAGGACGATATTTAGCTCTACTGTTGATACAGTCCCTCCCGTTTCCTACTTTTACTTAAGAAAAAATTAAAAGACTTAAACAACCATTTTTGAGGGTATTTGATGAAGTGGACAACAATACATATCAATGGCATCTTTATGCCATCAATCCAAGATGCATTTTGCCTAGCTGAAGAAGGTTATTGGTTATCTGACCAACTGAAGACAACTAGTGTAGAAAAAGTCCGAGACCATTTCCCTCAGCAATATTAATTTAAGATAATATTGTAGGCTTAGATCGTGCTACATTGGGTACATGTTTTTTTTTTTGTGTACAGCCTGATAAAACTGATGTGATACAAGTACAATTTTGACTATGATATTGTCCAAGGTGTATTGCTAAATTTTGAATTATCAGTTTGTGAATAAGTGGGCTGAAATGGAACAGCAACAGCCTCATTTTGTCTTGTTTTCTATTAAATGTTAATGGACAAGATGCAACATGTAAATGAATCTGTTTGAGGTTCTGAAAGGCACCTCTAACTGAACTAGGTTAACAACACGCTATGCTAGGTTAAACGCATCTTGGACCGACAGTTTCACTGTACTTTTACTAATACAGCATAAATTGATAATCTTGTAATTAAAATGTTTAATACATTCCCATTTTCAAAAGGAGGACAAGCATGCATATTCTGTGGGAGATCAAAATCCATTACCTCTCCTTGATCTTGCGCAGCTTCTCTTGATCCCTACTGGAAACTGGCTTCTCCTTCTGGACATCCAGTTGGCTCTCAACACCGCTCACTGGACCCACAGAAACTGCAATGTTCTCATATATGCCGACTCTGCGGCGTGGTGAGAATGCAACTGAGGCATCTTCGAGTTCAGGCAATGTTTCATCCTCGCGTCTGCAGGGAAGGCCTGTGCCAAAGACCTCTAAACCAACTGCTCCTTCTTCCTCTTCTTCTTCTTCTTCCTCCTCGTCGTCATCATCTTGTGATGCTTTATGCTCAAGGTTATCCCACCTTCTCAGTAAATGCTGCGGATGGCTGTAGCCTTCTTCCAAGCCTGCAGTTGAGTGTGCACTCCCGTTCCTTGCATGTCTCCTGAGGCGAGAGAGGAGAGGAGGGCAGCGGCCACGGAGGGAGGAGGAAAGCCAGGAGGAGCCGGTGCCTCCTCCACTGCTGGTGCCATTACTACTGCCAACGCCAGGCTCTCTCCACAATCCCATTCTGGACCGAGCCAGGCCACTGCGATAGCCATCGTTGCTGTTGTTTTCCTGGATAGGGGCGAGGTCTGCTCTGCGATTCCTGAGGCTACCTAAAGATACCTCTGGTCCTCCAGCTTCAGGCTCCACACTAGGCATCCTGGCTCCCTCGTCACTGTCCACAGACTCTCCGCCAGTTGATGGACTGTCATCATCAAGGGAGCGAACACTGGAAGATCCACTAGAAGAGTCTTGGCTGGAGCGCCGTGAAAAGAGACGGGACAACAGGCATCGAGTGGAGCGACGGCCCTCTGGCTCTGCACCCTCAGGGGCTGGCCTTGGAGGGAGCGAGGCCTCTGGTCTGGCAAGGGGAGTGGTGTACCAGGGGGTGTGGGTGGAGTAAGAGGAAGAGATATCCGAGGAGGATTTAAGGTTTCCCGTTTGTTCCTGAGATGAGCGAAGGGTGGATGAGCTGTTCAAGAAACGGGCTGGGGTTCTGCTGCTGAAGTCACGCACCAGAGGAGAAGGCCGGTGAGATGTGGAAGATGAGAGGTGGCGATTTAGGGAGCCTTCTCTAGCAGTGGAGGATGGAGAGTAGGCAGTCTCTTTAGGCCGAGCTCCTTGTGCATATGTGGAGGTCACCCGGTCTGTCTGATCTGAAATGAGGGAATAGAAGAGCAGCTTGTGTGTGATTGGCTTATGTTTAATAAAACACTTAGACAGGTTGTGTGTGCGTTTACATCACAAAATATGCCTACACAATGAGGAAGTCAATCCAGGAGGCCTCCTTCTTTCTTCCAAACCTGATAGACTGGGCTCGTTCTTTGTCTCTAGCTCTCTCCTGGACAACAGCGGCTTTGAGGAAGAAGATGATGGCCGTGAGAGTAAGTGGCATGACCTCCACGATGAATCCAGCGGGTCATTTTGTTTTTCACCTGTAACTGTTCAGCAAAAGGAGTACACAAAAGGTTTTGAGGTGCGGAGATGCCTCTATTGCAGGTGAGTCAACTAACAGAAAGAAATGCAATGTGTAGCTCGAGCCAGGTAGCAGGGGTGCGCTCTGGACAAACTGTATGCAGTTGGAATTAATGTCAGATCCTCTCATGTCCTCATCACATCAGAACAATAGGATACACATTCAAAATTCAAGAACAGCTTTGCTTATGACCTCCACAAGCTGCTGGTATTATGTACCTCTGCCACTGCTGAGCCCATTACTGGAATAGGTGGATCCAGCGACTGAGGTGCTGGCTGTTCTTGAGTACAGTCCTCTGTTGCTGTATGACAGTTTGGCTCTTTTAGAATCACCATCATCACTGGCGTTTAACAGAACTGAACGCATCCCCAACTTCCCATCAGAATCAGTCTAGGAAAATGAAGGCAGAAATTAAATATTAAATTCTCATTTCAAATGACATCATTCAGAAATACTCCTCTAATCTCTACCCTAAAATACATTTTCAGGCTGTGTTTTGCCTGCAAAGTACCAGTTTGCTCCTGCTGCTGAGAGGGGATTCAGCCCACGGGCGGTCATAAGATCTGCTGGAGGACGTCAGTGAAGACGGCAACTTCCAGCTGGTGGAGAGACTGTCAGAGCTGCTGTAGTCTCTGGACGGCCGCAGGAGACGAGAACTCTTCAAAAAAAAAAAAAAAAAAGTTACAAAAAAAAAAAAACAAACACACCACACTACACAACCAACCACCAATGGTGCTATGGAACAATGTTTTGATGAATGGTTCCCCATTTTGTATGCTAGCATGTGCAGGTATGTGATTGTCAAAGGGCTAAAAAGCAGGAAAATATACTGAGACCCCCCCCCCATTACTTAATAGTTAAGGGGGGGGGGGGGGGGGGGGGTGATGGCTGATGTTTTAATTAAGTATGTAGAACTGTTTGCAGTTGAAAGCTTTTTACTGGTCGCACAAAGTTTACAACGGACGACAATGTTCTTTGCATCTTAGACTATGACATAGTAATGGCAATAACGTTACTTACAGCTATTGAAAATACCTCTCCCTGTTACCAGTCTTCCTTTAGCTTTTTGGCGAACAGCTGACTTGATCTTAAGGTCCGGTGCCACTAAGCTGCAGCACGGTCGCGCATTCACGTCAGGGCTGGTGCATTCAGTAGCGCAGTGTTGCTTGGATTAGTAACTGTTTAGGAAATAGCATTCCGTTACATTACCCTTTACTGCGAAAAGTAATATTGCAGTATTACTGCCCAACACGTTACCACTGATACGCGAGAGCGACTGTGGTACACACTGCGCAGGTGTGGAATAGGCAGCTGAACGCAAAACAAAAACCATCCTTGATATTTTCAAAGGAAGAAAACGCTATACACTTCAGCCTGTAGATGTCCTCAAATCCTCTCCATTTCACTCGGCCAGCAACTATATTGGACTCTTCTGGAAAGTACAGGAGAAACCAGACAGGGCCCAGGTCAACAGTAACACTATCTTTTGAGACGGGCCTTGATGAGGAGCAGGACTGAAATACACACAACATGGGCCAAAGAATCCAGGCTGCCCTATAAAAAGACCTCCAAAGTGTCTGCTGTTGCGCCACTGACACATGTAGTTAGCTACTGTGGAACCTGCAAGAAAAGAGCTTACTTGAAGGCCCTCCCCCTGGAATACACTAGAAAGGCACATGACTAAGCCCCAAGTGGTATAGAAACACAGATACAGTAGGATCATGTGGACTCAGGCCCAAGAAGTGCAGTTGTTGTTGTTACTGTTGCTCTTGACCGTTTTATCCAAGCATGTAAAGTGAATCTACTGTGAATCTAAAACACTTTATGCAGTACACCAAGACGGATAGAGAATACTGAGGCAGTGGGGAAGTAAATTTGAATTATACATGTTGTAGGCAAATGTATAGACAGGATGTACACTATATATAAAACAGCAAATATATGCATGGTTCCTAGCCTTTAGACATTTTTTCTTTGCAATAAGTCTGAGGTCTGTGCCGTCAGCCTACCTGTTGGTCCAGGTCTGCTTTGTAAGCAGACGATGCCCTCGGGAAGCGGTCATTATTTAGCACCGTCTCCCTACTGTACAGTCTACTGGAGCCCAGTGATGAGGAGGAAAGTGTTGGACTTGATGTGTAGGACGACCTCGAGCCGGACAGACAAAATGGAAGTCTGCGAGACCTAGAGTCCATCACGGATTGCCTGTTGCGATACAAAGAGGATTACACGATAGTTAAGATGTGCTGGCAGGAAGAACTTGCTCACAAACGCATCAATTATTCCCCACCCAATGGCAAGATATGGCATGAAGTGTACACCTTTTAAAGGGGCCTGCGACCTCTTCATCTGGCAAGTAACAAGGCTTGGCAGGGCGGTGTGTGAGCATGTCTGATATACCGATGGGGCGCACATGACTATGTCTGTAAACACTAAAAACTTGCCACGATGCTGCTTCCTGGACTTGGTATCAGTGACTATTTTTGGGACTATGAACTCTTTCACATGAACTTGACACTGGAGCAAGCAGTAGCACTTGTGTGTGTCTAAGTAAACAAAGTGCTCCACAAAAGTTGAGAAACTGAGATCACTTATTAAGCTTCATTACTAGATCCAACACAGTGCTGAGCCAACTAAACTGTAATGTTCTCTCAAGTGCTACTGATGCATTAGCTGAAAGCCAAATGTACCAGTGGTCCTGAAAGGGAGAGTTGAGAGTTTCTGACATAAGGTGATACAGTATGAGTTACTCCCTGATAGTGATATGGATCCATGGACATGAGCCACAGCACATGTGGTCAAAGATAGCTCAGCGTGCCAGCGGCCCATTAGAAACAGACAGCAGTAAGCCCAGATAACAAGAATATTCCAAACCACAACACCGTACTTTTCATACAAACCTTTAGCAACCCACAACTGCATAACAACATGTTAAGTGGAGTACAAATGCTTTATTATTAAACAATAAACAAAACTGTTTAAGAGAACCAAAGTATAAAAAAATAAAAGCCAAACAAAACTTAATGTAGTCAACTACTACTTGATGCTTGTGATGCTTTGCAGCAAGCTGCAGGTGCCACATCTTCTGGGATATATACACTCAGTTTACATAGTGCACCTTTCTAAAACTAAGGTACTCTAATAAACAAAAACCCTGCAATTAATCCCACCTTCACACAGTTTATAATGTCCAGTTTATGTTGTAACTCTTTCAGAGAAATGGTATTTTTGACAATGTGGTGGCGTTGATGAATTGTATCGACCTGTACAGAAGGGTGTCCTTAAGGTTTTGTCCAACCGCCATCTAACGAGCTTAATTTAAAAAAAGTCTACATCACCACATAGCCTCCACAATGACCATAAAACTTAAACATATTTTGAAAAAGCGTCCAATTAAAAAGAACATTCACGAGAAGTGTCTTGCAGAGCTGTTCATTTATTGCATTATATTGCAAAAGTGCTAGGTTTAAATGACCTTCGTTAAAACACTGACCACAAGATCTGTAACTAACTTACCCTGATTAAATGCCCATGGTTCACTATCACGATCCATTAGTAACGTTAGCCATAACGGAAAGTTAACATTTGATTTAACTAAATACAAAGTCTGAGCAGAGGCAGCTTAACGTTAGTCACTCTGAATTTAAAAACCTAACGTTTTGTGTTTTAGAAGTGAGGTAACATTACCTTGCCTGCTTCGTCTTCCTTTGCTGATTGATAATTTACGAGCCTTCTTTTCGCCACCGAATTGCAAAGAAGGTTAAACGTTAGTTAACAGCTAACGTTAACGTTAACTAACGTAACCATCGAACATCGTAAAACATTAACATCGGAAGACTTTAGCATTATTAGCATTTCCCTTGCGTTTTTTCCCCCGTTAACAGTTCCTGGTCGAAACTTAACGTTACCTGTGGCACATGAAATCGGATGTCTTTGGTAACGTTAAAGTTATCTATCGGTTAGCTAACGTCCCAAAACAACCTTAGCGATTTAACGTTACTAATGTTAGCTAGTAACATCGATTAGGAAAAACACGCCGTTTTGCAGTTGCAAGCTAGCTAGCTGTCATTAAATATTTAATACCTCCCTCGTCCGCATAAGATAACGGAATAGTTCTACTGTTGTTTCCCTTCAACTCGCCAGAGCTGTTTGCTACTGCGGTTGACATCTCAGTTAGCTGGCTATAAGCTAGCTGGTTAGCTTGCCGATTGTACGCTGGCATTGCGAAGTCCTGACATTTTACGTTAACTAATCAGATGCGCTAAATGAAACATTGGGTGTTTGAGACATGCAGTGCCAGCACCAAGGAACAATTTTCATAAACTAGATTCATAACTCAATGCACAGTCGGCATAATGTTACTTCCTCACCTTTGATTCGCCTTGCTTTAGCACAACAGGAACGATGGCGTCTGTGTTGTTGACTGCTGTTGACACAGGGTCAGGTGATATAGCCTACAATGACTCGGAGGGAGTGGTTTACAAGATTGCTTTCAGGTGAATTATCCTTACGCACATAGTTCAACCATGTTTTTCTGAGTCAAATTTGAGCATTTAACGTTATATTATTGCACCCCGAAAAGATTTTACACAGTGATAAAATGAAACCATGCCTTGCACTTACTTTGACATTTGTCTCCTCAAACATTTTCAGGACAAGTCAAACAGCGTGCCCGTGTGGCTTAGATTTAAAATCAATAAATACATCAGTCATATTTTCATGCACGGGGATTAATTCAGCAAACAACTTAAAAGCTAATATATGTTGTTATGCCACAAACACACCTTTTTAGCTTGGCTTTTGTCTAGTGTGGGTTGATTTCGATATTCTCTTTTACTGTTAGCCTATTTCTTTTTTATTATTGGTTATGTTATACACTATTTTATTTATTTAAAAGTTTTTTTATTTAAATATATAACCTGACCTGAATACACCTGTCTGAACAATAGATCATTAATCCTATACTCTCTCAAAAGATGTCAAATGTAGGCTACATATGATGTTTCAGACTTCCTTTATTACTTCTGTTTTCACAGCAAACAGTGAAACACAGGAAGACCATGAAGATCTCTGTGTACAATCGAGAAAAGGTCTGACCACTGAATGGCTTAAAATAAGTTGAAGTCCCTGTGCACTCACAAGTAAACACATGTTAAGTAATTTTAAACTATTAGAAGTAGAACAGTTGAAAACAAAAACAACAACTACAGAGAAGGCAGAAATTTAGGTCATTTGTAAAATGTATGGAATGAAAAAGACACAAGAAACTAGCTATAGTAACATCATGAGAGCTGCAAGTGTATTCCCTGTGGAAAATACCATGTTTTTTTAGGCATTACCACTGCTAGATTTGTCAGTGAGTTTGGGATATTGGCAAAGGCTGCATAAAAAGCAGCCCACATCAGCCAGTGAATCCAGCTGTAAACAAAAAACACCTTTTATCTTTTAATGTCTGGAATATAAGTCATGAATAAAACAGATATACAGTGGATAGTACAGGGTACAACACTGTTGCAGTTGAGTTGCCTCATTTTTTAGATTATACATTGTGTACTATTTGAAGTTGCAGTTCTCCTCCTGAAATGTTAATTCGTCCATCCATCCATCTTCTTCCGCTTATCTGGGGCCGGTGGCAGTATTCTGAGGCTTTCCCAGGCCAGATGAGATGTTAATTCAGTATTTTGTTTCATAAAGGTAGCAGTTCAGCCTGTGTTCTGTTTGAGTTTGATTTTTCATTTGCAACATTACATTGCAGTGCTGGAAAGTAACTAAGTACAAGTGCTGTGTTAAGTACAATTTTCAGGCACTTATATTTTATTTTTACCTTTATTTACATTGTATTTACATGCAATGCTACTTTGACAAGAGGCAGCAGGTGAGGCTGGGGAAAACACATTATTACATTTAGCGCTTGGACAATCAGCACTGGTGATCCTCATGGATGTGTGCACTCCTCTCTGCTCTTCTCCCTTTACACCAATGACTGCACCTCAGGAGACCCATCTTAAACTTAAGTTTGCAAACAGTTATCGAAGTTCAACCTGCCCCAGGATCTGCCAATCCAATTCTATACCGCAATTATAGAGTCGGTTCTCTGTGCATCCATCACTGCCTGTTTTGAATCAGCCACCAAACAGGACAGGAATAGACTACATTGCACAGTCAGGACTGCAGGAAAAACACTGGTGTCAACCTGCCCTTCATTCAAGACGTATACATCTCCAGAGGGAGGAAACAGGCAGGAAATATCACTGCAGACTCTTCACACCTCATACAACCTGTTCTAACTTCTGCCCTCTAGGAAGTGCTACAGAGCTCTGTATGCCAAAACATCCAGACACATGAACAGTTTCTTTCCACAGGTCATTACTACAGGGAAAAATTTACCTAGTGTCAGGAACAATCCCTGTACAATAACCCTATAACACTAAACATCCACGGTACCTACAAATGATTAATTCTATTATATTTATTATTTTAACATGTATCATAATTGTCAAATAAAAATCTAAGCAGAATGTAACTGTTTACCCTTGGCACTCTGTCTGTGTTTCGCTATTGTCTTATTGATGACAAATGTTGCTATTATATTTGTGAGCACTTTGAAAGCAACAAAAAGTCAAAATTATTTTTATGTGTACACAAATAGTACTTGGCCAATAAAGTTGATTCTGAAGTTGATACTTAACATTTCAAAGAGAAATATTGTGCTTTTTATTTATTTTACAACTAGTTACAGTTCAAATTTAGATTTACATAAAAAATGATATGATAGTCTCATAAAATATGAATAGATGTTACAGAATAAACTACCCATCAATATATAAAATCTAAACAAATCAATCAACATTCACACATGTTTAAAGCTCCACTATAATATTTAACATTCTGCAATGGTCATTCTGCATTTATTAATAATGAACACTTACTTTTGAAAGTGTATCTTGCTTATTATACTTACTTAACATAATTGCAGGGGTTTCACTTGTAATTAATTATTTTTACAGTGTGGTACAGCAACACAACTTTCAATCATTGTTTGCCATCTAATTATTATGATTATGGCCGACCAGCTTGATAAACCTCACAGCTAATGTGTGACTATGAATTATTTAGATGAGAATTGAGAGGACTTTACAAATTATACAATTAATGTGATGAAGGCATATATTAGCCATCATGGTATGGGAAGAGAAACAGCAAAAAATGTGTTTTGAATTGCTGATATTTGCCAGTGCCATGATGATATTGATATATTCATTAAAATGTTGAATAAATCTGTTAAAACATATAAATTATAGCAGTTTGATATTGAATGTATTGGTTTGAAAGTTTATGTAATTCTTATTATATTCAAGTTTCAAGTATCTGTCGTTCATGTGTAATATCTAATACACACCACTCACTGGATTTTGACAAAACTGGGGCATGTGATGCATCTTACGTGCATCATGGCATTCTGACATTTTCAAAATGACTGCCCCAGGGGAGACACTGTAAATACAAGTCAAAATTAATAAGCGAAAACTTTGCTTACAGCTACTTACATGATTTTCAGCACTGCTGAGTAAATGCCAAATGCATAACAAGTGGTTTTCTATGAGAGTCAAGAACACAAAAAAGACATCTAATCATTTAGCAACTCCTCATGAAGACATTTGGAGCACCATCTACTGAACACACTGAATCTTTGTAGGGACAACTTGTTTTATAGATTATATTTTTAATGAAAACTGTTTACAATAAAGTCTCTGTAAAGTAACATTGTTTCTGAACAAAGCTATGATTTTTCTAAATGTGACTTTTTAATGTTTTGAGCTGCATTTTGCATTTATTAACTAGTTAGAACGTTTGTTAGATGGTGGTGGATGGATAGAGGGAGAAAGGGTCCTGACATGCACACAAAAATTAAATAACCAGCTTTACAATCAGGTAATTTTTTAGTAATTTAACTGGCGTGTAACAAATCTAGATATGTTTTTTTAAAAGGCTGTAGCTAGTAGCTCTAAAATAATTTGAAGTGGTCTCTCTCATATAAAGCCAGGTGCAGATTGCATAAGATATAAATGAAAGCAAGGACTGTCTGACTTGTGACTGTAGCCTCAAACTATACTGACAGATAATGATGAAAGAGTGTATTAACGAGACAAAATGACGGCAGAAAAGAAAGCAACAGAAGATTAATTACTGAAGGCCATACATTATCAAGAAGGGCCATTTAGTGTCTTTCTCTAAATGTATAGACTGCTTGGGACAAATCTTTTGATCTAATGGCCACTGTTTAAACTCTTCATAAAGCCATATGGTTCATCAGCATGGGCGTGGTGACCAGAAGGATCAGTGAAGAACTACTGACCAATAATTGTCATTTGTAGCATTTTTTAATGCTGTTGCTATTGATGATGGTCCAAATTTACTTAAAAAATGATCAAAATCATACACAACTGTGTTTCCATCACATTACATTGACTTACATTTATTTCTGGACTTACCCTAACCATAACCACTACTTGCCCAACCCCAACATTAAACCCCTAACCTAAACCTAAACCTAACATTAAACCAAGTCTAAAACTTAATGATGTTTGTAATGTGCACTTGCGTTTTGTCCCCAAAAGGAAGGTGAGCCCCCACAATGTGACTGTGTAATGTCCCCATAACATGAGCAATACATGTCCACGCACACATCCACAGTATCTCCACAGCACTCCAGGGCTGACGTCATTATGAAAGCCAAAGGAAGCTAATAGCCACTAAGAGGCGCTGTAGTTCACTGTTTTTCTCTCCACATCCTTGGAAGACGCAATTGAGCTGCATTTATATTTGCATGCCAGAACTTAGTGTTTGTTTAGTCAGGGAGGCAATTAAAACCAATTTCAACAGGTTTAATTAGATGGATTTGAATAATTGCTTTGAAAGGCATTATAGATCCCGTCATCACAGTAAATCCTGGATTAGCAGCATTCATTTGATTTGCATACTTTAACTGACATCTAATTTAGTAGACCCCAGGAAGAACTGATCACAGATAAATCTAAAGGCATACCTTTTATTCATTTTGTCTTCATGTTGCAGATATTATAGATGTTACTGTGTTTTTTTCCACTGAGAAAAATTCATTTACCATACAAAAATGTAACACACTGAATTCATGTTAAGTGTGTGGGGGTCCAGAAAGGTCAGCTCGGAGTGGAGAGGGAGCACTGTTGCACAGCAGATGCATAATAACGTGAAGGTCAACAAGATGCTCATCATGCTTGGTAAAAAAAATGTAGCACTTAAAAGGCCCAGCGATCCATTATTAGTTTGCATGTATACATCAGTGAACAGTGATCAAACCAAGTGTAAATCTACCCAAGGCTAACAGACCAAGAGGTGAAGGAGAAACAGAGAGTGAAAGGGATAAATATAGGAGGGCGGAGCTGCAGATTAATTGCTGACAAAAAGGACGCCTGACCTAGACAAATGAGGAAGTGCAAGGTCTGGTGAGTTGGGGAGGAGGATGCT